CGAACTCCCAAGGAACCTACAGGAGAGAGGTGCCCAGTGACCCATGAAGCTCTGAGAATCAGGGCTCCAAACTGGAGAGGGGCTGCTTCATGGTGAGTTGTATGGGGCAGGGGGCTGCGACTGTGGTTCCCCCACATGGGGGGGAGAAGGGGACAGGTGGGATTCGACATGTGCTGGAGTTTGCAGAGCTGGGGCGTTTGCTTTCCTCAGGCTCCCTTCACCCGCTCCTCCTCACAGGTCCTAAAGCAAGGAGGTACCTGTCCCGCCCCCAGCACCACTGACATTGCTGCATTTATCCTCCCGAGCACTAGGGGGCGCTGTGCTTCAGGGAGCATGGGGGGGCGCTAATGGGGGGGCTGTCCCTTTGCAGGCAGTGATGACCCCAGGGCGGCGCTAGGGGGCGCTGTGCTGCAGGGAGTGGGAGGGCTCAGTAGGGGGCAGTCTCCCTCCTGGGTCACTGCTGACCCCAGTGCGGCACTAGGAGATGCTGTGCTGCAGGGGGACCACTGGGGGCGCTGTCCTTTGGTAGTAGGTGTGACCCCAATGCGGCACTAGGGGGCGCTGTGCTGCAGGGAGAATGGGGGGCGCTAATGGGGGGGACTGTCCCTTTGCAGGCAGTGATGACCCCAGTGCAGCACTAGGGGGCGCTATGCTGCAGGGAGTAGGCTGGGGGCTCAGTAGGGGGCGCTCTCCCTTCCTAGTTGGTGGGGACCCCAGTGTGGCACTAGGGGGAGCTATTCTCTTTCAAAATGAGACCTGGAGCTGAGCCCCGTTTTGCAGCCGGGGCACTGAGGCACAGAGAGATGCTCTAATTTGCTCACCCAGGCAGAGTGGGGCCGACCCAGAAATAGAACCAAGATCTGCAGAGGCCGAGCCCACCCTTCCTCTGCCAATCAGGGCTTTTGTCTCCAGCCCTTTCTGGCTTCAGCCCTGCTCACAGCTTATCATAGGATGTGTCCCCTCGGTCCAGCAGCTGGTCTTTCCTCCCCTTCCCAGCACACACAAAGCCAGCAGCGCTGCTGGGAACCCTGGCTGCCCAGACCCCTCTCTAGCTGGAGACAGCCAGACTCAGCCTGGGACCTCACACTGAGCAGAAATTCCCTTGAAGAGGAATCTGCAATTATCCAAACAATACCAGCCACCGGGGCCCCATTAAACTGGCAGGGGCACTGTCCCCCATCCCTTCCCCAGCAGGGCCCCTCAGGCAGACTAACCGGGAGCCTTCTTCCACGCTGATCCACACTCCTCTTCCTCCTTTCGGCCCGATTGATTCAGCCGTGTCACAATCCAGGCAGAGCAGCACTAGGGCCACTGCTGTGGGGCTGAGATGTCCCCAGCTGACCCCAATGCAGGGCTAGGGGGCGCTGTGCTGCAGGGAGCAGGAATAGAACCCAGGAATCCTGACTCCCAGTCCCCCTCCCCACTCTAACCATTAGACCCCACTCCCTTCCCAGAGCTGGGACTAGAACCGAGGCGACCTGCTCCAACCACTAGACCACACTCCCTCCACATAGCATGTCCTTCTCCAGGCTCTTTGGCCTCAATAGGGGACACTCTCCCCCCTGTGATTTCAGCCACATTCTATATGTAGTCTTTGGTGCTTCCTGCCCTAAAGTTGCTTAGTGTTGCTGTGTGCTGAGAACCAGAGGTGGCTGCATTTCAGCCTGCAATCTTTATTTTATTTTTTTTGTGGGGGGGAAAGCACCAGAAAGCAAATATCAGGGGCCAAGACTTGGAAGGGTGACTAGTGATTTTGGGGTGCCCAGCTGAGCAGTTGAAAAGTCATGAAACAGGCCCCCCACCCCATCCCAAATCACAAGATTGGCTTAAAACTCATGAGATTTTTAAAAACAAAGAATACATGTGGGGGAAGAAGCTTTTTTATTCATCTTCAGGGTTTTGAGCCATTGAAGGTGGGGATCCAGCTTTTCTCTGCAGCCACAAGGGCTAGAAACCCACTTTGTTTTTAAATGAAAGCTGGGATTCTTGTATAATCACAGGATTCCAGGAGCTGGGGCTTGAAGAAAAATACCCAAAATCACGACACTTGTGCTCAAGTCACTCCTTAAGGAACCGGGATTTGGCAGGGGACGCATGCTCAGCGTTCTCTCAGAATCAGCCCCCCCCGGAAATTAAAGAACTCTAAATCTTCAAGACAGAAAATCCTAGCCGTTAGTTTTAATTTGACAGGTGCATTTGCAGACGTTCTTTGTTATCCATGTAAACAGTTGATTCTTTTCTGAGGCAAGGCGTTCTGTCTGTCTTCTATGGACTTAGCTAGCCCCCTTACCTTATTAGCTGAACCCCTCACCATCTGTAATGTATTTTTCCCCACAACACCCCTGTGACGCAGGGTATCTATCCCCATTGGGCTGATGGGGAAACTGAGGCTCTGAGCTGTTAGGTGACTTGCCCAAGGTCACCCTGGAAGTTTGTGGGAAAGGAGGGACTTGAACCTAGGTCTGCTAAGCTAGTACCCTAACCACTGGACCGTCCTTCACCTCAGAAGGCGGCGGGGGCTAGCAGAGAATGGTTTGCTCCATTCATCTCTGGGTTATGGGCCCAGTGCCCTCCCACCATGCCAGCTTGCTCCACAAGCAAGTCAATCTGCCTCAGTTTCCAAATCTGCCTCAGTTTTCCCCTCTCTAAAACAGGGATAACCACGCTGCCCTTCCTTTGTAGAGCGCTTTGATAACAGAGTGCCGAGGCAAATCTGGGACACAGTGTGGGGTTAGCGGTTTGCATCACACAGAGTGGGCAATCCGGATTTAACACCAGGACTCTGACTCCCCCAAAGGCCTATACATCCAGGGCCGCTCTCGTGACTCGATTGGCACTGCTGCAAAGGAGATGTGACAGTGCAAAAGAAGGCATCTGTGTCACGAGCTGGGGGTCTCAGCCCAGTTCCTGGCAAATCCTCACCTCAGAAGCCTCTGTCATTCATTCACTGCCCCAGCAGTAAAAAAAAGAAGTGGGTAAACTAACCTTTTAGGTGTTCCAGGCCACACAGGGGCATCAGTGGCACAAAGGGGTACAGAGATGCCCTGATTTTGAATGGGTTTAGTCTAGCCAATTACGTCAAGTTGTAGGAATCATAGGGTGTGACGGTCAGCAGATGTCTCCAGACAATCCGCGCATGCCGAGCACTGGCGGGCTCACTTCAGATTTTGACAAGGTACGATTTCTGTGCCTCGTCTGTTGCTGAGCACGACCAGCTGGTAGAGACGCACGTCAGCTGTGGGGGGAGATGCAGCCGAGCTGGCCTTCTCGGAGGAGCGAGTCAGCTCTTCAGTCCTGAGACGAGACGTGGGTAAATGCCATCAACCCCAAAATGAGAAGTGGGCAAAACTCCGGTTAGCAGGGCTGAGCCTCGACGATCCCACCGAACTGCTCCCGCTCCGGTCGAGCCAGGCACTGAACACTCACGCTCCAAGGGCATCCCCTCCAAGACAAGGCAGCAGCAGGATTTGAGCAGGGGCAGCATGGCTGGGAACCATGCCCTGTGTCCGCCAGAGCTGTGCCCTGGTCTGTCTTTCAGCCAGATCCTCAGCAGGTATAAATTGACACGGAGGGCAATTAACACCCGCTGGCCTCTGGTTTCACCAGGAATAAATTTGCTGCAAATGGAACTCAGGCAGAACATCTGTGCACAGTTTTGCGTTGGGGTGGCTGTGTCTCATCAGCGCTTTGCTAAGAGTCAGAGACGTCTGCGAGCCCCAGGTGAGACGTACCTTCTGCTAGGGCTGCACTGGGATGGTTTGATCCACATCCCCTCCCCCTTCCAGCCCCTGCCATCTGGCCCAATGCAATACGTCCGGCCCTGGAGCAATGGCATAAAAAGAACACGGGGCTGCTAACCGCAAGGGGGTGGGATGCAGAGGGCAGTAGAGGAGGGGGGCTGTCTGCCGTGACCCAAATCACAGTCTGTAAAGGGGTTCACGAGACACACACAGAGCGGATGTTTGCTGAGTGATGGGGGGAGTCATTGGAGAAGGAATGATGGTAACAAAAATTCCCTAGCCCTTAAAAGAGGACAGCAGCAGCAGCAGCAGCCCCATCTTACAGATGGGGAAACTGAGGCACAGAGAAAGGAGAGAATTACCCACAAATCAGGATAGGGCATGGGATAGAACTCAGGGCTCCTGCATTCCAGTCATTAGCCCCTAACCCACAGGAAGGTGAACAAAGTTAGTGCAGATACTCCCTTGGCGTCATGCAGTCAGCACCCTGACGCTCAGCAAGCCAGGTGAGGCCATGGAGGGGAGACCTCCAGAGCACTTGGGTCAGAGAAGCCGGCCCCTCAAGGAGTCGCTCAGGTCGGTGGAAAGAAAGGGTGTCACACCCCCAGATCAGCACTACAGCACGATACACTCATCGAATTAGAGAAGATCAGGGTTGGAAGAGACCTCAGGAGGTCATCTAGTCCCACCCCCTGCTCAAAGCAGGACCAACCCCAGCTAAATCATCCCAGCCAGGGCTTTGTCAAGCCTGACCTTAAAAACCTCTAAGGAAGGAGATTCCACCACCTCCCTAGGGAGCCCATTCCAGTGCTTCACCACCCTCCCCTGAAATAGTGTTTCCTAATATCCAACCTAGACCTCCCCCACTGCAACTTGAGACCATTACTCCTCTTTCTGTCATCTGCTACCACTGAGAACAGCCGAGCTCCATCCTCTTTGGAACCCCCCTTCAGGTAGTTGAAGGCTGCTATCAAATCCCCACTCATTCTTCTCTTCTGTAGACTAAACAAGCCCAGTTCCCTCAGCCTCTCCTCATAACTCATGTGCCCCAGCCCCCTGTTCATTTTCGTCGCCCTCCGCTCGACTCTCTCCAATTTGTCCACATCCCCTCTGTAGCTCCTCATATAAATACAGGAAGGTGCCGGGGCAGAGCTAGGACTCAACGCTAGCTCTGCTGAGTCTCAGCACAGAGCCTTCACCACAATGCCCTCTGTCATCCCCACACCCCGTAACAGCGGCATCTCTTTACTCTCCCTGCAGCCACAATGGAGACGTTCAGCTCCAGGAACCTGGCCCTGCAGGCAGAGAAGAAGATCCTGAGCCACATGGCCAGCAAGTCGGTGGCGAATGTCTTCCTGGATGACACAAGCAGCGAGATCCTGGACGAGCTGTACCGGGTCTCCAAGCTGCACACCCAGAACCGGGCCGAGGCCCAGAAGGTCATCAAGAACCTCATCAAGGTGGCCGTCAAGATCAGCGTGCTGTACCGCAACAATCGGTTCAGCGCCGGCGAGCTGGGCCTGGCGGAGGAGTTCAAACACAAACTGCACCAGGGCGCCATGACGGCCGTCAGCTTCTACGAGGTGGAGTTCACCTTCGAGCCGGGCGTGCTGACCCAGCTGCTGCAGGACTGCCGGGATATGCTGCTGCAGCTGGTGGAGAAGCACCTGACGGCCAAGTCCCACAGCCGCATCCGCCACGTCTTTGACCACTTCGCCAACGACGATCTGCTCAGCCACCTCTACAGCCCCGGGGAGCCCTACCGGCCCCACCTGCAGAAGATCTGCCAGGGCTTGAACAAGCTGATAGAGGAGGGGAAGCTGTGAGGGGGTGGGAGGGGGCCTTGCCTTTCTCCTCCTTCTCAGCCAGCAAAAGATTATGGGAGTTGGGGGCTTGTATCCAATGGGGGCCTGGAAGAACCTCACTCCCTTAGGCACCTATGGAAATCCTAGCCAAGGAGCAAGGACGTTCAGGTTTATAGGGGATGGAGAACTGGATGATCCAACAGGACAATCAAGACTCAGGCGTGTCAGGACCATCCGTGCTCTCCACATGCGCCCCAGATCTCTCCACGCCCTCATGGATCAGCGCCCCAGTCTCCGACTCTTTCTCCCCATCAATGACTCTTGCGGAGTGGTTATTTTTGTACACATTTGTCTTGTCGTTACTAACACGTTAAGGGGGGAGAAGCCGCACCCGCCTCGCTGTGTTGCGTGGGGGATCTGCTGCCTGGGGGAGCCGGGGCCGGCCTGGGCAGTTACCCCTTGATGCTTCTGTTTGTGAGGCCGGCGGAAGTGGGGCTGGGTTCAGCTCCCGCTGCAGGGCATTATGGGGCTGGGCCGATGAAGGCAATAGATCAAGTCCCCCCAGAAACACTCCCCACTGCAGGGTTGCCCAAGGCTGAAGGGATCAGTCGAGGCTCCACCGAGCCAGCAAAACAGAGGGGACGGGGGTGGCAGATTCTGAGCTTATACGTCAATTGCACAGAAACGCAACGCCCAGGGGAAGGGACCAGCCACCAGCGTCAGCCCCTGTCCTTGCCGCATGGTTCCCCAGCAGTCAGGTCTAGTCCCCAGGGCTGCACTCAGCGGAGCTCTGCCCCACCATCGAGCTCAAGTTTAGGAGCTTAGCTTCAGCAATGCAGAGTTTAGGACTTTCCCTCCCCGAGCCCAGCCGCTGACGCAGCCAAAGACATGGGTGAGGCCACGAGCAGGGTGAGAAATGCGGGGACCCCATGCAGGTCACAAACTCCATGTCAGTCAAAGGTCCCGCAGGCAAATGGTAGGGTCCCCCCCATGCCTTCCCTGGCCACTCTGTCCTCCTGTCCCAGCCCCGCCAGCACCGTGATCCCTTGGCTCACAGTTTATGGCCAAAGGCATGGCAGCCTACGGGGGCTGGAAGGTCAGGCGATTTCCTCCCAGACAACTCATGACTCCAGAAGGTCCCATAGCAGCTGGGCTCCCTCCACAGCTGGGGCCTGCGCGAACCCAGGGGCTGCCGAGGTCAAGCAAAGATACCAGCAGCTTCCTCGGAGCGGGCGCGTGGGGAACAGATCAGCAGACAAAGCTACCTTGGCTGGCATGGGCATAGTTAAAGGGTGGGCATGCAGCCCTCAGAGCCACCATCCCCTGCCCGGTTTGCTGCCAGCTCACCGAGAACACAGCTGGACTGGGCACATCCCAGGCCTGCGATGTCAAACAGCACTCGGCGAAGGAAGGGGGAGGCCGGGGAGACCAAAGCAGGAGCTCCCTGGGAAAACAGCCCCTCACCGGGCTTGTGAACACGAGGCATGAGCCACCTTGGGAGACAGGTGCTTTCAGCCAACGGGGGCACGAGGCCAGCGGTTGCCTGCCTCCCCGCTCTGCTAGCCTGGCCTCATCTCCACACACCCCAGGGGTTCCCCCCCAACCCCTCTCCAGCACTCAGATGCTGGCCTGGCGCTAACCCAGCATATGGCTCTGTCTCCCCCCCGTGGTTGGGGTAAGAGGCTGATTAGTGCCCAGGTGGCATCAATTAGTGGGGGTTGCAGGGAACAAATGCCCCCCCCTTCTGCAAAGTTTTTGCGCTTGCTCAAAGTTCCACAGGCCACAGAGCTGGGAGGGGGCGTGGGGGGGGGGGCGCCCAGGGCCCGACCACTTTTAAGCAGCGCTGGTGGACTGACTCAGCGCGGCTGCTCCCACCGCGATCCAGAGCACAGCTCCGGCTGCTCCTCTGGGTAGCCGGGGCAAAGGGGACTGCAACCTGAGGCACGGGGAGGCTCTCCCTGGATGGCGGAGCACGGGGGAGTCTGCTGAAACCTGCCCCTGGGCAACACCGGCTCCCGCACTGCGTGGGTAAGAGAAAAGAGATCAATGAGCGATAGGATCCGGGTCCCTGTGGGACGAAGGGGGACACAAGCAGAGTGGAACTGGGTCTCTGCCTTGCAGGGACTAGAATGCACCCCTGCCCTGTGCTACACTGCCTTGTGCCCATCCCATTTAGCCCTCACAGCCCACCCCTTAAGAAACCTGGATCTGGGGGGACACATGCCCAGTGCTTTCTGGCCCCCGGAAATTAAAACAGTCCAAACCCTCACTACAGAAACCCCTGGCTGTCAGTTTTAATTTGGCTGGTGCATTTGCAGATGGAGGGGTCACAGGTTCGATTCCCACCGCTGCCCGACCCACAAGGGCGTGGTAAATCCAGAGCTGGGGGAGCTGCTGGCTTCTCCACATTCCAGGAGCTGCCTTCTACGGAAGATATTAGACCCCAAAAGTAAAACCTTCCCTGCAGATGAGCATCTGTGCTGGGTCCCACTACAGCCAGGCAGGTAATTAATCAGAGGAGGAATGTGGGAACTGCCCCAACCTGGTCAGCATTTGGAAGAGGAGCTCCCAGGTGCTCCCGCAGCTTGCACTGGTGAGTCAGTAGGGGGCGCTCTTCCAGCCACCTCAGCCCTGAACCCAGTGCTGTGTGGGGAGCTGCTAAAGGTGCCGGTTTTCTCAAGGCGGCTCCTTGCAGCCATTGAAGAGCCTAGGGCCCTATAAGCTTCACAATTAAAAGCTGTTACTGTACCGCGGCCTGTGTGAAATTAGTTTGACGGGTCACAGCCAGGTTGGCAGCATACAGGTGTCCATGGCACAAAAGTGGGGGGGCTCTTCAGAACAGGCTGTTTGCCCACGCACCAAAGGGACACGGAGATCGCCCGGGCCCTCAGGCCAGACCCGGCATGGGCATCCAACCACCACTCCACCTAGGCAAGGAGGAAGTAGACAGAGGAATCCGCAGTTCCCTGTCGCACGCAGGGATGCAACGTCACCAGTTAGCGGAAGCCAGGTGCACTGGGCAGAGGCCAGGGACGGAGAGCAGCTCTGCTGGCACCACTGCCCGCGGGACTCGGACAGTTCCAAGGGAGAGGCTGACTGCAGGCAAGGCCAGCCTGGGGCATCGCGGGCAGGTCACTGCAGCGAAGGCGAACGGCGCAGCAATGGGACACACTGGCACAGCGGGCAGGGCAGAGGCAGCCGCCACAGGGACAGGCCCAGAGCCGCTCAGGATTCAGCCAGGGGGAGGCGCTGGTCCTGCTTTCCCATCACTGCAAGCCCGACAGAACAATCTCCCACCCTCACTGCATCAGCAGGCCCCTGACACACCCCACCCCTGACCCAGGAGCCCCCCTTACCCTGCACCGGCTCTGCCCCCCATTGCTCTGCCGTACCCCAGCGCCCACTATCCCAGCCTTGAGCCCTGCTCAGACTCTGCTGCAGCTCCTCAATCCCAACGCAGAGCCCACCACTCCGCTGCTCTCCCAGCCCTGGGCTGCCCCTAGACAGCTCTGCCGCGGCCCCTGCCCGGGGCTACACAGCTTTCCCTGTAACACAGGTGTCATGTGGGCCGTACGCATTGCCATCGAGAGCCTAAGACAAACGACACATCCGCCAATACGGGCCGCACACTGCAACGGAGGGCAAAACATCTAGCGACTTCTATGGGAACAGGATCTGACCCATTTTTGGAGCACTCCCCGCTGACTGCCACTGCTGTACAAAGGCCGACCCAACCCTGCTTTGTGCCTCACCAGGGAAATAAAGGGGAGGAACAGAAATGATTTACCACGGAGCTGTGTTGCGTGTTTTGTTCAAAGAGCAATCAGGATGGAACACTTTTATTTGCAGGTCCCTTAGCAGCCGGCCGATCTCAATCTTGAGCCTGAAAAGTACCTGGCAGAGTTATTTAAAGAGGATCTGGGCCTCTCAGCTGTGAGGTGGCTTTAAAGAGGAACCCAAGGGAGGGTTTTATTTTTAACTCCGATTCCCTCTCCAGAGCTGGGCCGTACTGGACAGCGAAGAGATCCAAATCAGTACGGCTGAATTAAACAGACGAGCGGGGAAATCGGAGTCCAGCTTACCTGCCCCACACAGAGTCTGGGGCTACTGGCTCAGCTCAAGCAGCTAACGCCTTCCAAAGAGGGGCTGTTCTGGGAGTCCTCCATTCACCCCTGGCCCACAAACGCCAGTTACAAGCCACTAACTGTCCCTGCCCTACCCCCCACCTGAAACACCAGCTTGGGAGCTGAGAGTCAATCTGGGTGTTTTCCCTCTCACACCCAGTAACAAAGAGACAAATTAACAGGCGATCAGCAGCACTAGTCTCTCAGGGGCCCCATACAGCCCCAGTGGGGCCAGATGGGCGGAAAGGATTGGTCAGCCCTTGGATTAATGGCACACAAGGAGGGACAGACCCCAGCTCCCTCCCCCACAGCTGGACTGGCACTGCTGGGCTTAGGGCCAGATGCCAGCTCCCTCCCCCAGAGCTGGGCTAAGAGGAATCCTAAGCAGTGAGAGGTCATTGAGTAGCTCTGGCAGACTCAGGGGACAGATCCATGGGGAGTGGGGGTGGGAGGGGTTGTACCCATCGCTTTCGGGGTGAGGAAGCCAAGCAGCATATGGAATTCGCCCCCTCGGCCCCCAAGCCAGGTCCCAATGGAAAGACTTGGGCGGATTTCGGCTCAGGCCCAAGGGGCTGGGTTTCAACACAGCAGATGCTGAGCCCTTCCCATGGGGGAGTTGAGCATTATCAGCCCGACCCCCTGTGGGCTCGCTGGCGGTGATGCTGACTCTTGCCTGCCAGGCATCCTACGGGATCAGCTGCCAGGGAGTCCTGCCATCCCACAGGACGTCAGGCTTGTGAAGGTACCTGTTTCATTTAAGGCCAAGGTCCCACAACAGGAAGAGCAGGGAGGGCTGCAGGTCGGGTTTGAGGGGCATCAGTAGATGATGGGGGGTGGGGCAGGGCGGAGGACCTGATCCCGAGGCCTTTCCCTAAAGTCTGAGCGGGGGAGCCAAGGAGACCCAAGGGGGTTGCAGGTGACCTGACAGGACAGGACAGGGAGAGGCTGGCATGCTGGGATGGGGAGCTCTGGCTGCTCTAGCCAGGACTGAGAGCCCGGCAGTGGGAAAGGCCAGCAAGGAGCAGAGCAGTGCAGAAAAAGCCGGACATTAGAGCGTGCCGCCAAGACACCTCCGCCCCAAGGGGGTGCTCTGCCAGTCACCCCCATAACACACCTCAGTGCATGCCCCCCCCCCCGCCAGAGAACGTCCCCCATACACCGATCCCTCTGCAGCCAGCCCATCCCTCTGCAGATTGGCGCAAAGGCGGGGGCAGCGGGAGGGCTCATGCAGGCTCTTGCCGGGATCAGGGCCGTCACAAACCCTGCGCCGCCCCCACTTCTCCCCGTGGCTGGACGCGCCAGCTAGGACGGGAGAGGCGAGTCCATGAGGAAAAGAAGGCTCCGCCCATCAGAGCTTGAAGATCTCATCCTCCTGGTCCCGCAGCGTGGCAGCCCGGGTGGTTTTGGTGAGCGGCACGGGGCCCAGCAGGGAGCGCTGCTGAGCGTGAGGCGAGGGCTCGCTCTGATAGGAGCAGGTCCTGCTGGCTCCTGGCTCAGCCCTGGCGATACTGCGGGGAGAGAGAAGGGAGTTAGATCTTGAATGGGGAATGACCACCGCAGACGGGCCCTGCTCAGGGATCCCCCCAGCCCACCCTCCTCGGGGGGGTGGGGGGGGGCTGAACTGACACACCACCCTGTGCTGGGGCTGGGAAGGATCCAGGGAAGAGCCCCCTTTAGACACATTGGGCCAGCGCGGGGAGTGGGGTACCTAGGGGTGCAACGGACCAGAGATGACGGAGTACAGATGGGGAGGGTGTAGGGAGGCCTGTATAATCCCTGTGGGATCTTTGTTCAAAGCTACAAAGTAACCTAGGGCTGGAGTGAATCAGCAGAGCTGTGGGGAGGATGCCATGGGATGGGACTTCTGGGGCTGGGATTGAGGGACACTGGCACAACTGGGGTTGGGGGATGAGCGCAGGGCTGGGGTAGGAGGGGGCTGTGGGTCAGGATTATGGGGCACTGCCCAAGCTGGAGGGTTGGGGCCCAGGGCTGGAGTAGGAGCGGGCTGCAGATCAGGATTGAGGGGCACTGCCCGAGCTGGGGGGCCAGGCCTGGGATAGGAACTGCAGAGATCTTCAACGCAGGCAATGGCGCCCTCTAGTGGTCACAGAGGCTAGTCAATGGCAAGCAGAGGCCAGCTCCTTAGCCCAGCCAGCTCCCCTAACACAGTCCTCAGAGGCCCAGCTGTGCCAGACTCCCAGGCCAGGAGAAGGGCATTCCCTCTACAGCAGCCGACTGAGGGGAGACGGTGGCCGCGGGCTCCTCTGGCTGTGCCCTGAGCTAATGCACTGGCTGTTTAACCCCCCTGCAGCACTGCACAGAAGGGAGGAAAATAACTGAGCGGCTTCTGTCAATCCCCGTTTCCAGCAGCACAGGGAGGTCTGCCCCACGACCCACAGGGAGGTAGGTGCTGACAGCCTGGATCAGACCCAGGCCTCATCCAACCCAGCATCTCCCCTTCCTCCAGCAGCGACCGACGGCCGTTTCCCTGGAGTAACCCAGGAAACATCCCAGTGCCCCCCATGAATTCCTTCCCACCCCGACGCCCTGCAGCGAGCGGCACATGCCCGGCAGGACACGAGTTCCTGGCTCTTATCTCTTGCCCGCACAGCACCAGTGGGAGATGAAGTTGGGGGAGGGAGGGGCCCTGGGAACAAACAGCATCAAAGCAAACATGTCTGTGTGTGCCTGGGTTGCTGTTTGTCGCCTTCAGAGAACTCCCCACCGTGCACGTCTCTACTCCCCCATCCTAGCTGCCATGAGCATGGCACGTAGTCGCCAATGGCACCGGGGGGGGGGGGGGAGGGTTGGGTGGGCAAAGCTTGAGGCTACGTCACCTCCCCCCCATCAGCAAGGAACGACCCCTCATTCTCCGACCTCCATTCGCTACAGCCCCTGCCAGGGCACCGCCCCTCAGGCTTGGGGACCCCTGGGTAGGTGGGTTTCTTGGGGGGCTGGGGAGGAGCAAACTATGGGGCAGGACATGGAGGATCTCACAGGCTTCGGCGCTGGGCTCTTTTACTTTGACAAGCATGGCGCCTGATTCGCTGGGGCTTTAATTTCTCCCTCCCCGCCAAGGGGCATGTAAAACCTGAGCGGGGGGTACTCAGGCATCACTGCGTCCCCTGCAGGAGGCAGCTGGCACTTGTGGGGTCACCTCGCCCTGTAGCAGCCCCACAGAGGATATAAGCGCAAACCCAAGGGCAGCCAGGGGAGATTCTCCTTTAGCACAGCTGGCAGGGGCCTACGAGCAGGTCTGGGGATTGATCCTCTACCCATACAGCCCGGGCACTGCATTAGTGGCTTGGCACAACAGTAACCTCAAGGTGGCACTTACGCGATCTCACCCTCCCGCAGCTTCTTCACTGCAGCCTTCTTGGACAGGCTGATCTCCAAGTCGAGCTTCCTTAAGAAATCCGCGGCCGAGAGGTCGTGGCAGGGGGTGGCACCTGTGCTGGTCACAGGGCCATTTTTTAGCACCGGCTTCTCCTCCCCTGTGGCAGGCCGCCTGGCTTCTTCCTCCGCCTCCTCTTCCTCCAGGTTTAAGCCGTTCGCCATCTGCTTGGGCTCCACCAGGATGGGGATGTGCAGTGTCGTCTTGAGGAAGATGGAGTCACTGGTGTACAGCCAGTTCGCCCGCTTAATCTGCTCCATCTGGGAAGAGACCATAAGCACCTGTGACCCCTCCAGGCCTGGGACACACGTCACCAACCCCCTTCTCTATACACCAGGAGAACAACGGCCTCTGATCCAGGGCTTGTTCCCTAAAGCTCCTTTGCAGGCTGGACACCTAATATCATGGCACCACCAAAATGGGGTGGAGGGCACCAGTAAGCAAATAGAGCAATGATGGCAAGTGTGCGCATGATGTGATCTGGGCTGCGAGTGCCGGGCTCATGCTGGCAGGGAAACGGGTTAGGGGGTTGCTGGAACTTGAATGCCACGGTAGGAGGGGGAGGGAAACTGACCGAGCCCCTGGAGGATGGTGTTCAATGCAGCCAGGCAAGTACTGTGCTGTCCCAGTGGCTAGGAGAGAGGCGTGCCATTGTTAGGCAGGGAGGACCCCCTAGCACACTTGCCTCCTACGCTCAGCCAGGGGTGGATGAGGGAGACGGGCTGGGAGTCCACCACCATGGCACGTGCCGCGACTCCAGCCCAGAGACCGAAAGACCCTGCCTTCCGCCTGACTGGTGGCTTGTTGGGCTCCTGCAAAATGAGCTGGCAGGTTCTCAGCATCTGTCACACAAACACAGCTGACCCCCTGGCTGGCAGCCCCAGAGACAGCTCCCCGCTTTCCCAGCCCCTCCAGCTGCAGGGCAGGAGCACACCAGCAGGGGGCAGCATGCATGTGTCATGGGGAAGACTGAACTGGTGCTGTCAGGCTGCAGGGCCTGTCAAGATTCAAACTGCTACACTCCCAGAGTCACTCAACAGCCATCTGCTGCCTGATCACAAATGCAGGCCCCGGGCAGGCTGGAGGTGATACCGGGGCAAGCTTTTTCTGCAGCAGAAACTGATCTCTGCCCCCCGCCTCCCTCCCTGAGAGCCACATGAGGCCAAAGGAACAGAAAGCTGCAAAAACAGGAAATGAGAAAGATGTGAGAGCGTGTGTGTGTGTATGCGCACATTACCAGGGTCACATCAGCCTCACAAGGAGGCAGCCGCACGCACGGGAGACCAAGAGGAGACAGCGAGTGCAGGGTCGGAGCCCTGATCCTGCATGAGACTCCAGACATTCAGCCCCCCGTGCACCCCCACTTACCACCACACCCCAGGGACTCCAGAGGGGTGCCCGCTCAGAGTTCCACAATCAGGGTGCTGGATTGTAGAGTCCTAGGGGTGGGGACTCAGTCTCTGATCTCGCAGCCACTCCCCTGGCACTGCTCTGGAGCAGTATCAATTATTAGGGTTCATTATGTGTATTGGAGTAGCCTCAAACAAGAGCCAGGAGTCCTCACTGTAGGGGGATCAGAGGTGCCTGGACTCTGGAGAGGTGACTCCTCCCAGTGCCCCTTTTCTTAGGGGTGCTCATGACAGGACCCTCCCTGCTTCACCCCAGACACTCGGCAAACAAAACTGAAAAGGGGTAACGCTAAATGCTTCGGCAGAGCTCCTTGTCCAAGACACACCAAGCACTGTACAAAATGGGGGTGGGGGGAGGGGAATCAATCTGGAGCCAAGCTGCAGAATCAGGGCCTACAAGGGGAAGAATGAAAGTCAGGACGCATTAGGAAACCCAGGGGAAGGATTCACTCTACAGATATAATTGCTTGTTTCGCACATTTCTTGAGGGGATCCCTTAAGAGCGTCCTCAGGAGGGCCTGGAAATGGAGAGCTGGCAGCTTGAGGAGCATTCACCAGTGCTGTGGCAATTTGAAATCAGATAGCTAGCGCTTTACCAAAGATAGGTCAATAGCAATAACTTGGTTTTTGTAATAGAAAAACTGAGGCCCAGAGTGGGGAGTAGAACCCAGGCAGGGTGGATAAAAATCAATGATTTTTTTGTATTAAAATTCCTTTTGAGGAAAAAACCTATCTAAAGATAGTTTTAATTAAGACACATTATAGCTCAGATATCTCATCATGGATTAGGGATTATAAATTCTAATTCTATAGTATGAGAATATATATTCAAGTAATGTTCAAGAAAAGTTTTGTAATGAGTTCTAATAGTTCATGGATTAGGGACCCAATTTTGTATAGATAGAAAGATTAACCTAAACAATCTACCCATAAAAGAGACCCAGTTTGGGAATAAGAACCATTCAAGAAATATATTTGCTGATGATGTTTTAAAGAAAGTCACACCAGTGACCTGGTGGAAGTCACTTAAGCACTTGGATTCAGAGACTGCTGAAGTGATAATCTCACTTTTAACAGCAGTAGCTTCTTCTGCCGGTGTAGAAAAAATATTTTCTTCCTTTGGACTAATTCATTCCAAATTGAAAAGAGTACTTGTGGAACCTTAGAGACTAACAAATTTATTTGAGCATAAGCTTTCGTGAGCTACAACTCACTTCATCAGATGCAAATTCCAAATTGACAGGTTTCAGAGTAACAGCCGTGTTAGTCTGTATTTTCAAAAAGAAAAGGAGTACTTGTGGCACCTTAGAGACTAACCAATTTATTTGAGCATAATCTTTCGTGAGCTGTAGCGATGAAGTGAGCTGTAGCTCACGAAAGCTCATGCTCAAATAAATTGGTTAGTCTCTAAGGTGCCACAAGTACTCCTTTTCTTATTCCAAATTGAGAAATTGTTTGGTACCTGAAAAAGCAGGAAAGCCTGTTTTTCTTTTCCAGATTATGAACAAACAGGAAAATGAAGGTGAAGACAACTGAGTTATCTGCAGAAACCAATATTTTAAGTTTCTCATGTTGACCTGGCTGACATGGTCGATTTTTTTTTTGGCGGGGGGGGGGGGGTGTTAACATTCATTTATTTATTTTAGCTAAAAACAATTTTTAACCAAAACAAACCTGATTTTAAAAAACTTGAATGTTTAACTAAATTCAAAAATTCATATGCTTGTTTTGGTAAAATATTATATGTTTGCTGTTGAAGAAAAAAATCCAGAATACTTAAGGTTGTTGTTTTAGTTAAATAAAACAATTTAAATGTCTGTCTGGTGAAGTTCTCCTCCTAATACAGCATGGCAAGAAAATCCTCCAAATATTAATGAATAATCTCTTGAATTGGAGATAGTTCACCTCCCAATGACTTCATAAATATCTGCTTCAATTACCTTTGGTAAATGAAATAACCAAACATTCATTTTCTGATATAGCTGTAAAACTAATCTGAAAAGTTTTCAAAATAAATCACTTTAAAAATATATGGTGCATACCTTCTAAAAATGAAACCTACATCTATCTCTGAGTTGTGAAGTTGTGTATTAAGGTTATAACAACCAACAAGAATGCACTTTTATGCAGAAGTCCATTATTAAATCAAGTCTTCCTGATTAGTGATTTAAATAATGATTTAAGTCAATTTGATGTAAATTAAATCCACCCTGAACCCAGGAGACCTGGCTTCCAGTTCCCTGCTCCATCCACAAGACCCCAGTCCCCTCCCAGAGCAAGGAAGAGAAGCCAGGAGTCCGGCACTCTGTCCCCCACTCTAACCGGGGGACCTCACTGGGGCCCTCCTGCCAGGTCACCTGCACCCCCCTGATTGCAATAAAAAGCTGCCGCGCTGACCTACCGTAACCCCATACTTGAGCGCCAGCCCCTGCAAGGTGTCCCCCGGCTCCAGGCGATGTTCCACCCTCCTCTCCCTCACCGGGGAGCACATGGACTGGACAAGGCTGCCGTAGGACCGGGTCTTGCTGCCGCAGAGCAGCCGAGCCCCTCCAGGGGACCCCTGCCTGGAGGGGGAGGCCATCCCTCCCCCCCCCAGTCAGTGGGGCACCAGTGCGGGCAGCAGAGGTGCCCGGGCTCTGGAGGGGCTTTCCTGAGGGGTGCTCATGGCAGGACCCCCCTCGAGCAGAGTAAACAGCCAGGCCAGGGCTCCCCCACTCCGAGCCCCCCCACAACGCTCTCTGCTTTCCTGCTTGTTCGCCCCTCAGCCTTTACTCCAGGGCACAGGCGGGGGGGGGGGGCAATTTCCGCACCCACGCTGAACAGGTGGGGGAGGGGATGGAAGGGAGGTCCCCCAATTTCCTGCCCACCCCTTACACCAGAGAGGGATGGGGGGGGTGTCCTCAATCTTCTCTGTCCCCTCCCCAGCTCCTTCTTTATTCGGGGGAAGGGGCAACCCCCCCCCCCCCCGGAACCCAGCCGCTCCCCCGGACCCAGCCACCCCCCAGCGGCCCCTCCCCTGCAGAGCAGCCAGTGCCCGCAGCCTCCCGTGTGGCTCAGCGGGTCCCCAACAGCTGAGCGGGGCGGGGCGGGGCCAGCCCCGTCCCTCTCCCACCCCACGCAAAGACCTCTGGGACATGTGGTCTCTCCCTGGTTCGTTGCCTGCCCCCCCAGGATCCCTGGCAGCTCCTCCCACCCCATAACCGTGTGGGGCCAAAGAGGTGGCACAATGGGGAACATTCCCCCCATCCCAACCACAAGCCACGCCGAAGGGGAGAGGGGCCAGGGTCCGGGACTACATTTCCCAGCATGCCCCGCCTCCTCGGCCCCTCTCAATGCTTCACGGGAGGTTTAGCCCAAGGGGCCTATCCGCGCGGAGCGCCAAGAGGCATGCTGGGAAGGGTAGGCCGGGAAGTGAACCAAACCGGAAGTGCTGGGTGGCCGCAGTTCCCATGGTTACCGCGGCCGGGGGTCGCGGAGCGCCGCCATGTCCTTCAAGCGGGAGGGGGATGACTCGGGCCAGCTGAATGTGCTGCAGGTGAGCGGCCGAGTCGGGCTGGGCAGCGGGGTCGGACACCCCGGCTCCGCAGAGCTGTCCTGGGCCGGGGCGCGTCAGGTGCCCAGAGCGACCCCGCCCCGGCTCCCCGCAGCCCCAGAGTGACCCCCCCCCGGCTCCGCCTTAGTCTCCCCAGAGCCTCCCATCCCTCCCGGCTCCGCCTCAGTCCCCCCAGAGCCTCCCATCCCTCCGGCTCCCCACAGCCCCAGAGTGACCCCCCCGGCTCCTCCTCAGTCCCCCCAGAGCCCCCCGGCTCCCCGCAGCCCCAGAGCGATCCCGCCCGACTCTCCCTAGCCCCCCATCCCCAGAGTGACCCCCCGACTCCTCAGTCTCCCCACATCCCCCTGGCTCCCCACATCCCCAAAGCGATCCCCCAGCTCCCGTCAATTCCCCGCTACCCCGAGCTCCCCCCATTCCAAGAGGGACCCCCCTGGCTCCTCCTCAATCCCTCCCCAAAGTGACCCCCCCAATCCTCCCAGCTCCCGCGACCCCTCCCCAGCTCTCCCCATCCCCAGAGCAAGCCCCTCAACTCCCCGCCCCCTGGCTCCCTCCAGCCCTCCCACTGCCCTGCAGCCCCAGAGCAGTCCCCAAGCTTCCCTCTCAACCCCCGAGTCACCCCAATGCTCCCCCCCACCACTCTCCCATCCCCAGGGTGATCCCCTAACACCTCTTGGCCCTCTCCAACCACCCCAAAACCTCTCGGCCTCTGGCTCCTCTTCCCCCCGCCATCCCTGCTGCTCTGGGCTCTATTCACAGCATTGCCACTGGCCTGCTGGATTACCTTGGGCAAGTCACTGCCCTGCTCCATGCCTCAGTTTCCCCATCTGTAAAATGGTGATAATGCTACCAGCCTCCTTTGTAAAGCGCTCTGAGACCCACGGATGAAAAGCACTAGATAAGAGCTAGAGATTGTTATTCTTATTGATCTATGGCCACACTGATGCCAGTTGCTCTGCTGCCTACACCAGAGAGATTGATTCCTCAGTAACGTGGCCTGTTCGTTTATTCAGAAAAGAAGAGTTGCAGATCTGCTGGCAAACTACATCCCAGAGGACGAGGCGCTGTTGCTAAGGAACGGCAGGTGCGTTAGACCCATTCAACAGCAAGCAATATGGTTCTGAGAAGACCATATGCCATAAGGATCGGGTCAAATAAAATCCAACCTCAGCCTAAAGCGCACATTGAAACATGATCCTTTGAATCGATTCAATTCATTAATTAGTGTATTTATTTATTCTGAGGACTGAAGCTGCAAAATTGGCAGTGTGGCCTAATGCACAGAGTACTGGAGTTGGAATCAGGACACCTGGGTTCTCTTCCCTGATCTGCTACAGCCTGCTAGGTGTCCTTGGGCAAATCCCTTCATCTCTCTGTGCCTCAGTTTTCCGATCTGTAAAATGGGGATAACAATACTGCTCTTCCTTTATCAAGCTCTACTCATGAAAAGCACTAGATAAGAGCTAGCTAGGGGTTGTTATTTGTTATTAAATTCAGATCTGGATTTCCAAGGCCCCAGCATTCAGGAATGTTTTGCTCAGGCCCATTATAAAAATAGGGACAATCTGTAAAAGTTAGACCCAGATCTGGATTTCAAACACCACCAAAATCCAGGGTGCTGGGATCTGGGCTGTATATTGAAGCTGATCTGGGTTTTTTTTAATTTTAGTTTTCATTTTGGCTTTGCAGTTCCCACTTCTCTTCAGATGTAAAAGAGCCATACGTCCCCCAGAGAGCCTCTGGCTAATATTACACACTCAGACCGGTTGGCTCGGCATTCAGACTTTTGGATGTCTGTCAGAGAATGAGCACGGTCCAGTGGCCACAGAGCCAGGAATTTTGGGTTCAGTTCTTGACTCTCCTTGGTTGTCACTTACGTTGTCCTGACCTGTTTCCTCAACTGCAAACTGGGGATAACAAAACAGAGGGTGTGTGGTCCAGCATCCAGAGCATTGGAGAGGGAGTCGAGATACCTGGGTTCTCTTCCCAGCTCTGTCATTGACTCATTGGGCAAATCACTCAGTTTCCCCGTGGGTGAGATGGGAATAGTAACACTTAACCTGGCTGCCTGTGCTTTGAGAGCCTCAGCCAGTTACGTTCGTTGAGGTCCCACTGCGCTGGGTGAATCTGAGAATCATGGTAATTTATTCTAGTGGATGTAACTAGTGTCTCTTCCAGCTCAGTGTTACCAACTGCGCTGTGTCTCTTAACGCTGATAAGGGCTGGGGGGCATCTGTCCTAATAGGTGTGCGTGACGGGGGATGCTCCCGGCTTGATGTGACTGTTTTTCCTCTCTCTCTCAGATACGCCTGCACAGTGTGTTTCCACCGTCCAGTCTTTGACACACTTGACATGCTGACGGTCCATAGGGCCGGCAAGAAACACGTAGCTAGTAAGTCAGCCCTAAGGGCTCAGTTCCTCAGGGAGCTGCAGACCCTGGGTAGTGGGGATGGTGCAGGAGGAAGGAAGAGTCCAGCTTCACTCCCAAAGCTCAGGGGCAGTCAGTGGTGCTGGTAGGTAGAAGACAGATTGAGATGTCCCAGCGAGGTTTGGACTTTTATAGTGCTTGGATTGCTCAAAGCCATCCATCCATCCCCCTGAGACACAGCAGGAGGGGGCAGTACGTGCCACCCCAAACCGACAGCCACTTGGGCAGCCCTTTGGCAGTGTAACCCTGGCTGGGTGGCAGACTGCCTGGCGAGAGTCTCGCGCCTGGATTACCTGTGTCTGTCTCTCTCTGTGTCCCAGGCCTGCAGACGTTCTACGGAAAGAAGCGGTCACATGAGAATGAGGTGCAGAAGCGGCGGCAGCAGGAGTTCCTGCGGGCAGAGGAGGCGGGCACGCAGGTTGGCATGTGCGCCCTATGGGAACCCCTCCCACGACCTTTACCCGGCTGGCTGTCCTGAGCTTGTCTGTGTTTTCCTTAGGATCTTGCGTTTCCTGCACCCTTGCTGGCTCAGACCAGGAAGATTGCCCAGAACGCTTTGCTGAAAGCCTCTCCCTATAACAGCTGCTGCCGAAGGAACAGGTAATACCTATCCGTTCCCTGCCAGCTCGGGTTGAGGGTTCGCCATGGCATCGGGGGCTGGTACGAGAGCCTGGCACAACCTTGGCAAGGTCTTTGCTGCTGGGTGGCGCCACCATCTGCTGGACATCTGCCCACAGCAGGCTTTTCTGCTCTGTTCCTCTCTAAGGGCCATTCGACCAGTGGGTGTCAGTTAGCATAGCTCTGTGGATGTCCGTGGCATGGTGCTGACTTACACCAGCTGGGGATCTGGCCCTGAATCCTTAAGCTGGTCGTTTTCCTGGTAGGCCAGGCTCCGGGTGTAGTGGGAATGATTTCAGAGCGGGGGATTGCAAATCTCTTCCATGTCTGCTTTATATTTCAGCAGTGGAACGCGTATCATGTAAAGGCAGCAGCTTTGAGAAGAGAGTGTGGTCTAATGGTCAGAGCAGGGGACCTGCGTTCTGTTCCCAGCCTTAGGTGGTTAGGGCAGAGGACTAGAAGAGATGATGCGTGGGTTCTCTTCCCAGCTCTGGAAAGGGAGTGAAGCCTGGTGGCTAGAGCAGGGGGATTGGAAGTCAGGACTCCTGGGTTCTGTTCCCAGATCTGGGAGGGGAGCGGGTCTGGTGGTTAGAACAGGGAACTGGGGATCAGGACTCCTGGGTTCTGTGTCCAGCTGTGCCACTGACTTGGTCATGTCCCCTCCGTGCCTCAGTTTCCCCTTCTGTAACACCGGGATAATATTTATTTTCCTTACGTGGGGAGTTGTGCGGGTTACTCCCTGTCCAGAAATCACTTTGCGGTCCTCTGACGGATGGGGCTCTAGACAGCAAGATACCATCCCTGGTTGTCACTGTGGCTGTGCACAGTGGGCAGCTGGTCAACACTAGTCACAGGGGACCTGCTGTCTGTTTTAGGTCCGATGGCAGCAGCTCAAGCGTTAGTTCTTCTGGGAGGGAGCCTGCTGCCCCCACTGCCTTCAGGAGTGCTGTTGGGAAGCAGCCGGCAGAGCCGGGAAGCTCCGTGGCGAGAGGTGAAGAGGAATGTGCCGCTGCGGACGCCCCCCACTCCATGCGGCTTCCTGGACATGCCAGCCCTCGAGCAGGTACGAGCCTGACAGGCTCCGGGGTCTTGCCCCTTCCACTGAGGCGCCTGGGGACAGTTAAATCGACCATTCAGCTGTCTCACTGTAGTGGCTCATATGTTTCTGCAATCCTCGGGAAATTCCACTGCTGTTGTTTGCCTGGTAGAATGTGGGGCAGGGCTGGGAGTCAGGACTCCTGGGTTCTATCTCCAGCTCTGGGAGGGGAGTAGGGTCTAGTGGTTAGAGTGGGCGGTGGGGTGGGGCTGGAATTCCACACTCCTGGGTTCTCTTACTCTCCCCACCATTTATTTGCTATGTTGCGTTGGGGCAAATCCCCAAGCTTTGGTTTCCCTTGGGGGGTGCATTCCTCATTGTCACTCAGGGTTGTGAGCGGCACTACAGATCACTGTAGAAATGCAAAGTGCCATTACCCCTGTCACATGAGCTCCCTGATCTCAGCCTCCCATGAGCCGCCGATTTGGCTCGGAACTAAGTGCGTCCACAGAGGTGATGAGCTCTCTGCACAGGTGCCGGGCGGTGGGCAGCGATGTTCCATCCCGACCTTCCAAGGCCTCACGGCCTCATCGCGTCCCTTTCTTCTCATTCTAGATTTGCAGAAGGAACCTGCTGCGAGGATCAAGAGAAGCAGCAAAGGAAAATCCTCCTTGTCTCCCCAGCCTGAAGCCATCAGCCCTGAGAAGCGCCAAGCTCTGGAGCATTATCTCCTGCTCAGGAGGTGAGCTGGCTTCTGCTTGTTCCCCGCATAGCAGCAGGGTGCATCGGCAGGGGTCCGATCCCTGGGGCTGAGTGGGGCTGAGTCGACCATCTCAACACTCAGCAAAGGGAAAAGCCCCCAAAGTCCTCTCCAGCCCATTGCTGGGGGCCAGCCCGGGGATATAATCTACCATCTGTCCTCCATGGCTCTGCCCATCTAGTTCTTGGGCTCTCATGCATGCAGTCCCGCACAGCCCTCCTCATCCATCCATCTCCAAATGCTTTACAAAGGGATGGCTTCACAGGTGAAGGGAAACTGAGGCACAGGGAGTGGGATGGAGAGACTGGTACTGACAGAACTGGGTATAGAACCTAGGAGTCCTGTGCCATGTCAGCAGAGAAACCATCTCCTTAACACCATCCTTCAGTCTTCTTCAGTTGGCATCCACCTGTCCTAGTGTTTGTAACTCTCTGACTGTCTGTCCTTCCCTCAGCTCAGGCTGGATCCAGGACACTTCCGGCAAGTGGGTGAAAGACGAGAACGTGGAGTTTGACTCTGACGAGGACGAGCCACCGTCTCTGCCTCCATGCTGACTTCTCAGCCTCTCCAACAAGTGAGATACCCCCAGGAACCGGACCCGGTACCGAGCAACGCTGACCGATCTCTTGGGATGAGGCTGGCAGCGGGGGCAGGAACGGCCTGTCTGCATCTTCTCATGGCTTTGACTTGGGATATAAATCACCAGGGAAGAAGGATGTTTCCAAACAATTCCTAGAAACCCCCATCACCGCTTCATTGTATCCACAGACACTGCTGGGGTCACTCACAGTGGGAGCTGTCATGTTGCCACTGCCAAAGGTTCCCAGCACGAGGTCTGCTCTGTCTCTGGGGATGAGCACAAGGGTGAGACACAGCTCTCGGCGGGACACGGGAAAGTGGAGAGTGTCGGAGGAAGTCAGTGCTTCGGGCTCATCTAGCATCTTTCAACCCAGGATCTTAAAGCTTCTCCCAGAGGGAGGAAAGTATCATGCCCCTTTCATGTGGGGAAACTGAGGCACAGACTGGCAGCAAGGAATGGAACTCAGGAGTCCTGACTCCCACTTATGTTCTGATCACTTTTATTAGGTGTATTACGGTAGCACTTAGGCATCCCAGCTGCTGATCAGGACCCCATTGTGCTGGGCACTGCACAGATACAGAACAAAGGAGACGCTCTCTGCCCCCCAGAGCTCACGGGACAATGCTCTCTCCTAACAGGCAATTCTCTGGCCTTTTTTCCGGTGGTTTAAGTTTGTTTTTAAAAAGTCGATCCTCAAATCGAATTGGCTTCTCCCTGTGCTGCGGGGGTGGCTTGGTACATTAAAAAGCAATACAGACGTCTTCTGTTCTCCTACTTCCTGGGGCCTATTCTGCAGCAGCCCACGGGTGAGGTGGCACCTTCCTATTTGCATTACATTTGACGCTTCATTTCAAATATACGTATGTTAGCGACCACACACAGTAACAAGGAAAAGGGTGGTGGTCCCTGTGAGGCATTCCAGGGCCTGAGAACATGCTCAATTGTAAATATGGGAGCAGTCCCATTTGAAATCAGGGCTTACAGTTGAGCACAGGCTTAAGTGCTTTGCTGGATCAGAGGGCTAAAATTATTGTTATTTATTAGATGTATTATGGTAACACCCTAAAGCCTCGGTCATGGACCAGGACCCTGTTGTGCTAGGCGCTGTATGTTATGTATTAAGTGTATTACGGTAATGCTCAGGCACCCTAGCCATGAACCAGGAACCAATGGCACTAGGTGTTGGAAGTTATCTATTAGTTATATATTACATGTACTACGGTAGTGCTCCAAGCCCTAGCCATGTACGAGGTACCCATATTAGGTGTATTACGGTAGCACCTTAAAGCCTTGGTCATGGACCTGGACCCTCTTGTGCTAGGTGCTGTATGTTATGCATTAGGTGTATTACGATACTGCTCAGGAGCCCTAGCCATGAACCAGGAGCCCCTATTAAGTGTATTACGCTTGCGCTCAGGCATCCTAGCCATGAACCAGGACCCCATGGCATTAGGTGTTGTACGTTATATAGTAGGTGTATTACAGTAGCGCTCAGGAGCCCTAGCCAGGAGCCCATATTAGGTGTATTATGGTAGCACTCCAGCGCCGCCCCCCAGCTATGGGCTAGGACCCCCTGGTGCTAGGCACTGAACAAACACACACCAGACCAATGTCCCTGCCCCCCAGAGCTCCCAGTCTCCCAGTTGTTTTTTCCCTGTTGCCCTTGTGGGTCCTTAGATCCAGTCATAGAAACGCAGAGGCCAGATCATCTTCCTTCCTAGTCCTTGGTCAGACTGGTGTAACTCCACTGATCAGGCATCATGCCTGATTTGCACCAGGAGAGTGAGAAGCGAGCAACTCTTGGTTCCCACTGACCCAGCTGAGCTTTCCAGGTTTAGTCAGCCCTCGATTTGCACCCTGGCCCGTTCCTATCCCCATTTCCCGCCTCCCTGACCCAGTATCCTCCCTGCTCAGGCCACAGCAAGGCCTTGGGGTTGGCCCCTCCAGATGTCCTGGCTCCTGGTCAGTTTTCTAGCTGCTGTGCATGCTGGCAGACCTCAGAGCCTTGTGGGCCTTCAACGTTCGAATCCTGAACGTTCCCAGCGACTGTGCTTGCACTGAGTTTCCAGCGTTTGTTAATACAGCTTGAACTCTGCCAGGCATGAGCACAGGGGGGCTAACTGGCCAGCCGCCTTTCTGCTCGGGGCCCAGAACTTGCAGGTGGAGGGTCAGCTCAGGTCGTTAAAGCGACCTCAGCAAGGGTGGGAGCCCAGGGCCTCGACCCACCTGCTGAGCCGCTTGTGAAAGCGACCGGGTTGCATCTCCTGTTCAGTTCAACAAGGATGGAGGCTGCATGTGAGGCCCTTTCACCAGCCCCTCAAGCACCCCTAGTTGGTTCACGTCCTGCTTCGAGGAGCTAAGGAGGACAACAGCTGAGGGAAGGGGGTGCGGATTGGCATCAGGTGTGGGGCCTCTGGATCAGCACCGGAGGGCCCTGGCTTGGAAAAAGGATTGTGAAGCTACTGGCCCTGGTGTTCTTCCATGCAGCCCTCGGGGCCTCCCAGAGGGCGCCGTAAGCTTAGTTATTGGGAGACACAACGGCAGCCTGGAGGCCTGCCGGCTCCCCCCTCCACTTCTACTCCTCGTGAGGTCTGGTGGGGCAGGCCTGGGCCACAGGACAGCCGGGCTCCCTTCCTGACTCTGCTACTGATATGCTCCATGACCATAAGCGAGTCCCTTGCCCTCCCTGTGCCTCAGTTTCCTTGTGTGTGTCTGCTCTATTCAGACTTTGAGCTCTTTAAGGTAGGGGCTGTCTCTCACGCTGGGGCTGCAGTGCCTGGTGCGAGGGGCCCCTGTCTAGCCACCACTGTCGGACAGTGATAAATCTAAATACTGGGGTAAAGTTTCCTCCCTGGCAGCGTCCGCTCCACTGCACGTGAGGCTTCTGTGCCGCTACCCCTGGGTGCTCTGCCTCCAGCGCAGTGTGCGGACTGGCTGGATCCTCCTCCTAATCAGCAGGCCCCAAGTTTGGAGCAGCTGATCTGAGCCCCAAAGGGCCCTGCTGAGAACGAATGGGCCACATGCACCCCCCCAGAATACAGGCAGAGCAGGGGCTGCCTTGGGGAGTGATCAGCTCCCCTTAACCCATGGCCAAGGTCACGGAGGGGAATCCGCACACCCTGTGGCCCTTGGCTTTGGGGGAGGAATAGGCACAGAGGAGAACCTCATGCTGTGAACCTCAGCTGCGAGGCCAAAGGGGCTGTGGCCCCTGAGCCCCTTGGGAGGGGAGGGGGGATGCTTGGCATGATGCCAGAGCTGCGGGGGGGGGGTGTGCTGCCTCTCGTCTGCCTGCAGGCAGTTCAGGAGCAGCTCTGCCCCTGCAGGCACTTTGTGGGCACTGCTCTGCCACGTTTCGCGGGTTCAGGTTGTGAACAAGGCCCTGGGAGCCTGGGCTGAGCCAGGCCAGTCTGGCCTCTAGGTCAGGCTCCTGCCTATAAATAGGCAGCGGGTGTTGGGTGGCTGTGCCCGCTGGGTCCCTGCAGGGGGAGGCTGTGCTCCCAGGCTGAATCGCGCCGAAGGGCTCTGGCAGCAAAGCGCTGCAGGGGAGGATCACGGGGCCGGGTGCTGGTGCCAACGGGGCGTGAAAGGGGCCCAGGCTGCAGGCTGAGGGGCCGGCCCTGGGTGCGGCCGGAGCTGGAGTTCCCTCAGGAGCGTGGGGCCTGCTGGGCTCAGTGGAGCTGACTGCGGGCGGGGGGAGTCACCGCCCAGAGGGAGCAGGCGGGCACCGTCCCGGCTATGGGAGTGGGCGCTCCCCGCGCGAGGCTGGCCTGATCTGGCTCACGCCACGTGAGACGCTCCCCCACCAGCCGCGTACACCCTGCTCAGCGTCCCGCAGGACAGCTGAGCCGCCTGCTTTAATAGGTTGTTTCCAGCTGCTAGACGTGTAAATTTTAGGGCTTATAAACCTTTCCGGCTTGGGGGGAGGGGTAGTGCGACACACTTGACTGATGGCAGCCAAGGGGCCACCTGGAGGAGAAGGGAGCATTGTGGGAAGGATCGCAGGGGCCTTCATCTAGCTGAGGAAGAGGAGAAGGCGGTGTGTGGTGGGGTGCCATTGGTGGAGATAGGGTCCAACCCCGGTTACTGGGTATGGGGGACAGTGCTGGCTGGGAAACCCTTGGCCTCCTTCCTCTCCTTGAGGGTGACGTCCGCGCTGGGCCGTAACCCGATCACCCTCGCTCCGTTTCACGGGCTGATCCCAGGGGTATAAATACACCAGGGCAGGGGGCACTTGGCTGCGGCGCTGCCTGCCTGCGGCCATTCCCCCAGTGGCAGCTCCGGGAGCCTATCGTGCCAGAGCTTAGCCGCTGAGTCCCTGGCAGGCGCCAGCCTGGGTCCATGCAGCGGTAGGGTCAGTGGGGAGGGTGGCGCCATGGGGCAGTGCCATTTTGCAGCTGTGCCAGCCCTGGATGCTGCAGGCTCCTGTCCCTGCCCCCGTGCTGGGTGCCCAGCGCCGTTGGAGACAGCCGGAGTTCAGTCGCGAAGTCCCCCCACTTCTGCCTCCAGTATCCACCGGATCATGGGCATAAGCCAAAGCTGATGGTGTCTCGCCTCCTCTCTGCTGTGACGCAGCGGCCCCTGCTCCACCTACCCCCACTTATCCAGCCCCAGGGGCCAGCTACATCAGGGTCACTGCTCCAGAGGGCCGGGTGGGGCTGGATCCCCTCGACAGGCGGGGCCCTCTCCCACGGTTGGCCCCCAGCGGCCCACGGGACACTTTGCTCTCAGAGTACCTGCCTCTGCGCATCTCAAAGCAAGTTATAGAGGCAGAGCAGAATCAGTGGCCCCATACTACAGAGGGGGAAACTGAGGCACAGATGGGGCCTTGCCCCAGGGTCACACAAGGAGTCAGTGGCAAAGCGGGGAATAGCACCCAGGTGTCCTGACTCCTCCCCCACCTCCACGCTAACCGCTGGACCATGCTGCCTCCCCTTTATAAAGCTCTTTTGAGCCTCCACCCTGATTTGCCCCTTACATGGGGCAGGACTCCTCGGACCCAACAATGGAACCCAGGTGTCCTGTGCTGAAACTATACCCCCTCCTCCCATTGGGGCTCTGCAGCAGGCAGGTGTGGCCACCACGCAGAAAGGGGTCAGAAGCCAGCCCAGCTCCATAGCCCCCTGCCGTGCTGCCCCCTGGTGGTGCTGGCCGGGAATTGCCTGTAGTCACCTGTGCAGGGACCCAAGCCGAGTGACTCGAGCCCTGCCAGCTGCCCAGCCCCAGCTCCCTCCCCTCGCCTCCCACCCATCCCTATCACTCATCCCTGCTCCTCGCAGCCTGGGGCCGCAGCCCTTTGATGCTGAGTAAGACGCACAAGTGGGACCCATGCCGCTTGTTTACGAGGCTGGCAGTCCCAGGCCGGGCAGGGCTTAGCACGGTCCCGAACGCGCTTGCTGACTAATGCCACCTGCCCCCATCAGCCCGTGGGTGTGACGGCTGTGGGGACAGGGAGGGAGCTAGCATGCCACCTTACCATATAAGCCCATCAGTCGGCGCCCGGCTTGGGGGCCTTCCCTTCTGCCAGCCCGGGCATGGGAGGCCAGCCACATCGGTCCTCCCCACGATGGCCCCTCTGTGGAGCTTGAATCCGAACTCCTTTGCCCCAGGGGTGTCTGTTCCCAGGGATTCCCAGGTCTGGAGTCAGAGTGACAATGGCTGTGTAGGGCCATGCCCATCCCCCCATCATGGCGGGGGAAGCCCCTGTTGGGCAGCAGGGAGGGGGCCGTAAGGAGCTAGGCTGGCTGGGAAACCTGGACCTGAGGGGCACCATCAGCTCAGGGGTGATCAGGAGTGAGGCTGCAGGGCTAAGTGCCCATGGGGGACCCCCCCATCCAACATGGTGCCCCTTGATTCTCAGCCTCTCCATTGCCCCAGGAGCTGCCCTGGGCGGCAGGTGTGCGAGGGGGCTGTGGGCCTGGGGGGAGGATGAGGAAGGTGCGTGCACCGGCCGGCAGGAAGGGGCAGGGGGGAAGTGGCATCCTTGAAATGACCTTCCAGACTGGGCCGTGGACAAGCAGCGCACGGGAGCCTGGCAGGAAAAGGGAGGGGGAGTCAGATTAGCGGTACACTCGAGGCACAGCGCTCTCGGGGGTAGGGCCCCACCACCAGTGCCATAGGGTCTAGGCCCTGTTCCAGTTGGGGGTGAGCTTGGGTAAGTCACTTCCCTGCACTGCACCTCAGTTTCCCCTCCCACCCCTTGGCTAGTTACAGGGTGAGCGACTTAGGGCGGGGTCCCGAGCTCTAGGGCAGCCTCTAGGCACCACTGTCAGGAATGTGACAGTTGGAGGCTGTGGGGGAGAGAGGGGAGGGGTGCAGGGGGGTCGAGGGGCAAAGGAAGGAGACGCAGGCAGGGGAAGAATCCGGGTTAAAGGAGGGGAGAGCCAGGGATCCAGTATTAAAGATGGGGAGGCACGGGGGAGTTCCATGGTTAAAGGCGGGGAGGGGATCCAGGGGCAAAGGAGGGAGGTGCAGGTGGTGGGGGTGAATCCAGGAGCAGGGTGCCACTTTCCGGAGTGGGGAGCTGGGGGACAAGTGGGCAAATGGACTGATCTGTGGCTCGGTGAGCCCAGCTCTGCTGGCCAGGGCAGGGGCTGGCCCTGCTGCAGCCTAGGGTGCAAAGGGAAAGAACTGTCCTTTCTCTGAAGCAGCTGGGACTGGCCCCTGGGAGGAGGAGGAGGCTCCCGGCCCTACAGAGTGTTGGTCCCCACTCCCCACCCCAGTGCTGGAGCCTGGGCCCTCTGTCCGCATAGTGATCTCTTTATTTACAGTGAGAACCAAAACACTCGCTTCAATTCTCTTCCTAAGAACAAGTAACCTGAGCTGGGGACTCCAAGTACTAGATGGGGCGGGAGGGGGGGCGGGGGGCCGACAGCTGAGGGCCGGCTCCAGGAAATCTACAAAAAGAACAAAAAGCTCCCCTTTGCTTTGAGCTGGAGGCAGAGCCCTGGCTGCAGGGCACCAGCCGGCCGGGGCCGATGGCTTCGAGGCACGGAGAGGCGTTAGAGACACGGGCCGGGCGCCGGGCATTATGTCTTCCTCTGCTTGCGACCTGTGGGGCAGACACAGCAAGGGGGTCGGTGGCGCAGAGCTGAGCCCAGAGGCCCCCACCCCACCCTCTATAAATCGACCAGTACCGACCTCCCTAAACCTTCTCCCCCTCCCCAGATCTAGCTCCAGCCCATCCAGGAGATAGGCAGGAAGGAAATGCCGCTGGGCGGTTTAGGACAGGAAGTGAAGAGGCTGACATCCATCAGCAATGGGCGGCCCAGTGGGATGGTCCGTGGGGGTGTTACCTCTGCCGGGGTCTTAATCCCCGTCCTGGGTGAAGTCCAGGGCCTGCTCTCCCATTCTAACCTCTCACACCCCCGCTGCAGTTTCAGCCAGCTGGGGGAGCCTTCACTTCCTGTCCTAATCAGCAGCACATGGAATGACACCGGGGGCGGGGAATTGAACCCTGAACCTCCACATCCAAATGCACAGGTCTCGGCTGCTTAAGCTAAAGAACCAGCACGATTAGCGCCATCCTCGGACCGGCTCTGTCTGGTCTAGCCGCTAGAGGGGAGCAGCAATGTACCGTCAACCAGGCGCTGCACCCCAGAGCAGAGCGCACCAGACCTCAGGTCGTCAGCAGAGCCACATCAATGCGGGTAAATCTGGGGCCAGGGCCTATTGTAAAGCCAAGGGAGCTCGGGCTCACAGAGCTGCTGCAGTGGGGCCGGGGAAATGGGCGAGCCGTCGGTCAGTCCCCTCCCCACCCTTCCCCAGCCTGCTACTTACGGAGCTCATTGTTCTTGCTGATGGCAATGGAGGCTCTGGCCCTTGGTCCCTGCTGCGTGAAGTGGTACCCGAAGCGGATGATGGAGGGGCACTTCTCCA